ATTTATTTGACAGAGAGAGACACAGCGAGAGAGGGAACACAAGCAGGGGGAGTGGGAGAGGGAGAAGCAGGCTTCCCGCCAAGCAGGGAGCCCGATGCGGGGCTCGATCCCAGGACGCTGAGATCATGACCCGAGCCGAAGGCAGACGCCTAACGACTGAGCCACCCAGGCGCCCAATGAAGATCTTTTAAAACATGCACACGACTTCTGTGGAGGAAGGTTTGGCAGTACCTTTCTATATTTCAAATGCACCTAAGACCTAGCAATTTCATTTCTACTAAATAACTTGACATGTAGATGAATTTCAACTTTAAGGATATTTATAATATATTCACCAAAGAAGTTTGTAAGACAGTAAAGTATGGTCTTCCCTTGTTCTGTTTTGTTTTTAAACATTTATTTTTTTTTCTGAGAGAGCGAGCGAGCGAGCATGAGCGGCAGGCAGAAGGAGAGGGAGAAGCTGACTCCCCACCAAGCAGAGCTTGGGATCATGACCTGAGCTGAAGATAGATGCTTAACCGACTGAGCCATCCAGGCACCCTTCTCTTGTTTTCAAACAAGGCAAAAAAAGCTAGAGGTCTGTTAAGAGATACACAGTGGGATTACCAGGAGTCATTTTAACTTTCTTCATATCTTTCCCATTACCTAAAGTTTCTTAAGGTATGTAGGCAGACGTGTGTTACATTTATAACAATAACACAGAAGCTAATATTTTAAGCTTGACTTGATTTAACTAACCAAATGTAAGTAAAATAGGAATGGTTTTCTCATCTAATGACATAACGGGAAATTACTAATTTTAAAAGGCTACCAGTCATAATATGGAGACTGCTACCATCTACATTTTAAGTTCTTATTGGAAGCAACTAAGAGAAATTTTTTAATTATAAAAAACTTTATACGAAATGATGTATATGTAATTAAAATAATGAACAATGTTTTTTTTTTTTTTTAAGATTTTATTTATTTATTTGAGAGAGAGAGAATGAGAGACAGAGAGCACGAGAGGGAAGAGGGCAGAGGGAGAAGCAG